CGGTCCCCTCCCAGGCAGCGCCCGGCCGTTGGAAGACCGCCTGCAGCACACGCGTTTTTTTCTCCGCACGGGTGGGAACTCCACGTCGGCTCGCTCTGTAATTTCTTCTCAACTTCTGCAAACGCTTCCTCTAACGAAATGTGGCACCCGCCCCCCACCCCCCTTCCAAAAAGACGAAAGAATTCAGAGGGGTAGGATGTTTTTGAAAGGCGGCTTTCATTAAAAGAGAACCTCAAGGAAAACGGCACCTGAGTATTCTTAAACAAATTAAAAGCTATTTTTCTTGTAAAGGACGGTAAATGTGTCATTAACTTGACCACAGATATTTGAGAAACCTTCTTCAGGCCGATGAGCCTCTCCTTTGAACTGTAATGGTTTGCATATGACGTTGTAAGAAAAAATGTGTGCCTTATTGCTAGCAGATCTGAGCAAATCTGACTTTTGGGCTAAGACTAATAAGTAACGGAATTAATAATATCTGGTAGGAATGAAAGTCTTTCCCTCCTTGTCACACTGTTATACAACAGCAATAATACATTCTGCTGCTAATAATACTTTGCATTCTTGCATGGATTTAATCTGAAGAGCTCAAAATTCTTCTGAAGCAATGAGAATAGGGCTATTTCAAACCCACTTCTCCAAAGTTAGGCTCTTTAGCCTGTAATTAGACATCTACATGAATGATCTTATTTTCAGGGATGATTAGTACAACAGCAGTTGTGTTTTCATATCTGTTCTAGCACAGTGTGCATCTTTAAATGCCTCTCTGAATGCAGGCATACAGTTTTAGACACACAGTTTTGCAAAGGTGAATGTGAATGCTGAGGCATGGCAAGATTACGAATATAAAATGTCACACTTACATTTCCGCTGAGGTCCACGCTTACGCTTCTAAATCAGTGGTCTAGTTTTACCAATTCTGAACATTCTTAGCTCTGGTTTGGCTGTGATTACAATGTAAAGACTTGCCCAACATCACACGGTAGATGCGTGGCAAGGAATGGCAAAGTCCAGGTGCACAGGCTGCTAATTCTTTGTTTCGCTTTTATTTCCTCTCAATAGTACCATTTCCCATATAAACAATGGATAGGATTCATTCCGCTTTATTTTACCCTCCTAAAAGTTTGTGGCCTGGGTAAAAGTTGGGCACCCAGGCTAAGTGAGTTAGCTAATTAGGCACCTAAGGAGGGTGGTAAGATACCTGAGCTTGTTCACCTTCCAGTGAGTATGGGTTGGCTTTGGTTTTTTGGTTTTTGGTTGTTTTTTTTTTTTTTCATTGACTGTAGAGGGAGCCATGGCAATTTGCTTGAGCTGGATGCTTCCCTTGAGGTTGTCAAATTTTCAGGTGAGATGAATGTGTGTTTACACATTCCTTGGCGTGTACTTCGAAAGCAAAAAATTTATTACCGTGAAGGAGACAGCGTAACTTGAGTGGTCTGGATCCTGAATTATGGGAGAAAAGCTGGCTTTGAAGTAGCAAGTAACTTGGAAAAATAAAGCCTCTCTCCAACTGAACTTTTTTGCCTTGATTGTCCGCAGACCTTCTGCAGAGCGCTCGGTGTTTGAAAAGGTAAAATTTCTTCTTCTTCTTTTTTTAAATTATTTTTTCCCTTGCCTTTTGCTGCT